AATAGCTATAGAAAATGTTTACAAATCTCTACAAAGACCTCCTGTTTTAAAGATTGTTTTAGCAAAATTCCTCAAAACGTTGCTGTTCATTTGAGCCGCACATGCACACAAACAAAGCACAATACACACACACACACACACGTTGCCCGGGCAGCAGTGTGTGCTATTCCCTCAGGTCTGATACACGATACATCGAGGAATGCTTAGTCTGAACTTCTAACTCCCACCGCTGATCACCATTATGTGTTCTCACCACGGGACGCTCATTGACCGACACACTCACACACACTCAAACACGTGCACACATACTGCAGGGATGGGTGGACAGCTGTGTAGTCAGAGGAAACACACACACACACACACACACACACACACACACACACACACACACACACACACACACACACATCTGGAGAAACGCTTGTTGTGTTGTCAGGTGGTCGGCTGCCAAAAAAAGAGTGAGGCTGAGGGAGGAGGCGTGATGACACATACAAGATGTAGAGCAGAGGGTTTACACATCCCATAATAATCATTTTAATGGAGCTAGGGAGAAGATATTACACCAACTACATATCCTGTGTGCAAGAGTAAAGTCATTTTGAAAACGGTACTGGTTAATCTATAACATATATTCAATATTTTTCCACGTTTGCAAGGTTTTGTTGCGCCCATATTGCATGAAATAACTTGAGCTTGAATATTCATGTAAAGTTAACAATTTGGAGAAATATATTGTATGCTATAAATGTTTTATATTTAATAGTTGAAGGGTTTGTGGGGTCTTTTTTGGCTTTAAGATGCACAACATCGAGAAAAGTTTCACCTTAAAAGAAATTCGAAAATGTGTTTTTTACATAGAAGACATAGCAACATTCTATATCATTGTTTTTTATCAGTTTTCTGGGTTTAACCGGTTCTTGAGAGAAATGTCTTGCCCTTTAGCGGATTACGGCTCCACATGTTCACCAGTTCTGTCTCTCTGCTGTTGGTTAAGGGGTTTTCAGAACAGTTGTGGGCCAAAAAAACAAAAATAATGAGCTGAAATACACTAAACCCCTCCATAAAGCTGAGGGGAAACTCGAGGTTTGCAACATATTTACATTACACAAAATCCATTGATCCCTTGTCCCAATAAAAAATGTTTATTAGAGCAACTTTTATTGCAAAACTATTGTTTCACATTTGGACGGTAGAACATTCACTTTCACAATAATCCATCAGAGGATTGAAGTATTTCTTGCATCACTGCAGATTTGGTCAATTATATTCCTTTCTAAGCACGGCTATGAGTTGACCTGCTTCTATATTGTTCACCTTCTTTTATATTAACCATCATATTAAGGAGTGTCATAATGTTTCCATTGTGTTGTTGTCTTAATATGTCTCCACTTTACTTTTTAACATAACATCTCAGTACTGCATTAAAAACATTGGAAATAAGTTGTAGCATTTTCTGTTCAAGGAATGATTGACGTCAATCATTCCTAACGGTTAGATAGTTTGGAATCGACTTTTCTTCCAATATTTCAGTACGTTTTAACTTCTTTAAATAGTATTTAGTTATGTTGAACCTTAAGGTTGAATAAACTGGCCTGTAATTGAACGTTTGCTGCTTTCAGTGTGAAAGTAGTGTCCTTCTTTGAATTTGCATTGACCCCGTAAGCCAGTGGTTCTCAAACTTTTTCTGTCAGGCCCCCCTTTGGAGAAAAAAAAAAGTCGGGCCCCCCCAACACAAATAGTCAGGCTCAGTGGCGGCGCCAGAGATTTATTTTGGGGATGCTGTGGGGTAGCTTGACGTTTCATAGAGGGTGCTCAAACATTTAGGGATTCCCATTAATGTACCGGGCGCTACAGTGGAATGTTCTACTGCAACAATCCCCACGCATACGTACCCGCAACTGTTACAATGAAGGCTCGATAATCAGCTCACGGCATATAGGTGTAAGCAGGGGTAAAGTGCTATTTTTACAGGTGGTGTGTGGACCTCACATAGGGGGGTCCGGGGGCAAGCTCCCCCGGGAAGATTTATTTCTAAATATTGAAGTTAAAAGCATCAATCTGGTGCACGTTGACAGCAAAATGAAGAGATCTTCATACCTGTGTTTCATTTATTCTCTTATTTTTTTATAACTATAATGATCATATAAACGTGTGCCTCGGAAATAATTGTTTACATTAATCGTGACCAAAACGTTTGAGACCCACTGATATAACTTAGACTAAAGTTAACTATCTAAACACTGAGAGAGTCCTTTAGCTCACTGAGGCTCTCAGTCTGACAGGAGAGGACTCTCCTCCACCTTGTTGTTGAAAAAACTCCTTATATCCATTAGCGTAGCTCGCTAGCGCCGGAAGCTTTAATGAAACACAGAGACCCAGACGTAATAGTACTGTATCATATTATTTTCGAATCAATAATTTTTTTAATTATGATTTTTTTTTTAAATAACCATTTTTCCTCCTGGTCTCTCGCCTCCTGTCATGCCTCTGCGCCCCCCAGGGGGGGCGCGCCCACCACTTTGAGAACCACTGCCGTAAGCAATGTGTTTCACCAACAAATGCTCTGCTTCAGCTTCCAGTTTGTATGTTATACGAGAGCCATTGCCAATAAAGAAGCTTGTTTTCTTGCCTGACTTTTCATACATTATAAAATAGGTGATCGTAACTGACATTTGACCCGGGTTTCATACTATTTTATCTTCAGTGACTATATCATTTAAAGGCTGCTGAGTGCATTGGTCTTTTTTTGGCTCCTGGCTCTAAAATCATAAATCTGAATGAGGTGGGATTAGCAAACCTGTAAAGTAGAGACTGAACACTCAACTATCGTGTTTCAGGAGTTACTAACAAGAGACTGTGCTTTAGGTGCTGTTTACACGAGAACGCAAACGGTTGTATCCGCTACTTTTCTCTTTTGTATAGCCCGTTGTACACACGAGGCCGTAACGGAGACGCGGAAACGATAACGGGTCCCAAGGTGGATAGATCTGCAACCGGAACGCTCTGGGGGCCAAACGGCTCAGTGTGTACGCCCCATACGATCATTTCCTGATAACGATGAAGCCATAGCCCCGCCTCTCCCCACCTCTGCTGCTCACTGCTGTAGCATGGTCAGTAGCTACAGATGTTAGTGCAACATCTACAGCTCCTCTACCACAACCATCAACAACAAGTGGACATGGAGAACTACACGAACTACATGTTGCTAAATCCACCGCGGGGCATAAACAGAAGGGCAACAATGGCAACCATGCTCGGGGGGGTCTTCTTCGCTGCTTTTGGTGTATTTTGTGGCAGAAGTACAGCGCCACTTACAGGCCCGGCATATGTAATACAGCGTCTCCAGCGCTCCCGAGCGGTCTCGTGTGAACGGAAGACTTTTTGGATATCGTATTCGGGTCGTTTGCGTTTCGTATGCGTTTGCATGTAAATGGGGTCTCACACTTTGTTTAAAATGTCTGTATTTACAAATTTTACCACCTTAATTAAGCGTGTTTGCATGCTAATACTTGCTTATTTGCTAACTAAGTAGGCTACCACATTGAATCTGGCTTTGTCACCTCTATTTCCTTTCATTCAGGAAGAAAAAAGTGGTTTGACAATATCCTCGGGGAAAGAAGGAAGAATAATCAAATTCTAAAGCGAGTCAGTATTACCACATAGGATCATTTACATGCTGCAACCTTCACTGGGATACATCTGCAAGTGTTTGACTCGAGGCATCAGTGCAGGTGCAAAGTAAAGGTTGTGACCTTGAGATGTTGAAATATCATCCAGACAAAGACCTTATGACAGATTCTGCCCTCAAGGAGTCCGAAACACATTCAGCTCCATCACAACAGGCACTTTGGTATGGAACATATTTGACTATTTTTTCATCTGAATTCAGATTTTTCTCATTTATTTCAGTCCACATTTTATTGTCTTATGCCGCTGCTGTCAGAGGAACATGTGGCGTTCACATCTGGATCAGGCCCCCAGGTGGATTACACTGCAGTTTTTCTGAAGGAGAGCTGGAGTCGGGACCGTTTGTCTGGACCACACCGACGGAAACAAAGGAAAGTCTGTTGTTAAAACCACTGGATTCAATAGTGGGTGTCTTGCGAACCGACCACAAGATTTATCATATCGTCGTTTACTATTCATGGTGCAGATTTAGCTAATTAGAAAGTGTCACAACCATGCAAGATGATCCAAATGGAGGACAAGTTTGAACATATTGTGGTTCAGAGCTAAAGCAATTATCCCCCAAGTCCCCATTTAACACATTTGGCTTCACAGCTGGAGTGAGGACCTTATATTTCTGTGTCTTTCTCTGGTAATAACTCCCTCTGCCAGCGGAGGGAGACCAATGCTCCAGCTCTGAAGAAACACGTGTAAAATGTTTGTCATTCATCTTTTCCGTTCTTAGAGATGAACTGTAAACACAGAGTCTGTCTGAGAAAATATGATTCTGTATCTAGAGTCTCACTGCTCTGTATTACTGAGATTTAATACGGGACAGGGGCTTTATAGGCATACAGAAATACGCTGTTCGTCGCAATAAAATCTACATGTAGTCACTTCCCAATGAGGTCTCATCTTTGTGTTCCCACAGCTCGGGAAATAGAGTTCGAAAGCAGACTGAGAAAGAGCTTTATTTAACGTTATTTGTAATGTTAAAGCAAATAAAATCATTAGAAAAAAAGACAAAAGTGTCAATTAATTGGCGTTGTTCTTTCTTACTCCTTTTTTCAGATTGAACTCATGTATTGATTTTTCCAGCAATAAAGAAAACCAATTGAGAGACAGTCATTTAACAAAAAGCTTTTATTATTGATGACACATTGCTCCAATCCCTTTTCAAGAAAAGGAGAGAGAGAGAGAGAGAGAGATGAGACGGAGGAGAGATAGAGAGGAGAGATACCCGGAGAGAGAGAGAGAGAGAGAGAGAGAGAGAGAGAGAGAGAGAGAGAGCATTCCTCCATAGCTCCAGGGTGATGAAAAGGTTAAGCCTGCCCCCTCTCTGCTGCTCTCTCTCGGTTGCAGCCCCTCAGTGTGTCGCTGCCTCCTCCAGCAGCTCCTCTTTACACAGCAGCTCCACACTCAGACCCAAACTCTACCTTGGTCTCTCCTCTCTTGTCTGCACCTCCTTCCTCCACCATATGTGTGTCCTAGCTCCACGAACAGCTCCCCCGGACGCATGGAGATCTAACTTTGGTCATTGTGGAGTTGGCTGTTTTGTTTTCTACACTCCCTTGGTTTGATGTCTGCTCAAGCGTCGGGAATGCCATGGCCACTCCGAGCGCACAGCAGCAGCACCAGGATTATTTCAGGTCTGTGAGCAGCGAGTCCACCACCTACATGATGGTGCCGGCCGCCGGGCCCAGTGCGCCTCGGCGCCGGGAAGCACCGTCCAAAACCTGGGTGGCGATGGTGGTGATCGTGGTCGTTGTGCTGCAGATAGCCTCCACCACCGGGCTCTTCCTCTACCTGAACATGTCCATATCGCAGGTAAGGAGACGCACTTTGAGCGCGGAAAGACGCTGTATTTAACTGGGAAGTTTGGAGCACCTGAAAGTCGCTTTATGCACTTTTAGATTGATGCCAGAAAAACACAGCGTCTAGTCTATAACTTTTTTTAGTGAGTCTTTACGATGCATTGTTTCGCATTGACACTTGAGTTTAAATCACAGCTGAAAATCGCCCGCATATGCACTCTAACGTTTAGATAGATGCAATAAAAACGCAGCGAGTTGAGATTCTTATCTTGTAAATCCTTTTTGGAAGGAGTTTGGCTTTGTTCCTGAAGTTTCTCTATCTGATCCATATCGCAGCGAGTCTTTACGGTGCAATCCTGCAGAAAAGTAATTGGCACTTGAGTTTAAATCACCGCTGAATGTCGTATGCAGTTTAACTCTTAACACGATGCTATGAAAACAGTTGTAATTCTAAGTATTTTGTGATGAAGTTAAAGTTTCGTCAGTGGTGTAATTCATTTCTGGGAGAAGTTTGGCGAAGTTTCTAACTTGGAAAGCTGCTTTTCCTGGCTGCACTTTTAACAATGAAATCCAGATTTTACAAGACACCTGGCAGACAGAATTAGCAGTCTGTCTGTCTGTCTGATCGGCAGCGTTTATCTAACTAAATGGCTTACAATTGCGTGCTTAAATGAACATATTGGAGCTATTTGGGCAGAAAGTAGTTGTAAATTGCTTTCTAGGAGGTAACAGATGTCGTGTGCAGAGGTGAAATATGCAGGTCAGTGATGCAGTTTGGGTATTAACCCCCTGGGGTTTCATTTAAAAGCATTTCATCCCCCGGAATAAGATACTACCGCGCCTGTTATAGTTTTCAAGACGTTTAAAGGGATTTTAAGTGTTTAATATTCAATCTTTGGAAGTAAGAGGGTTTTTCTGCCTTATTTGCACAGCTGAATAATACTTGCTCAGACATGAATTTCTGCTGTCACGCTAAGTTAGTGCTAAACATGTTTACTGAGTGTTGTCATTGAGATGTTGTTCAGTGAGTCCCAGCTGGGGAAAGTACACACTGGCTAGTTAACTCAACAACTTCCAAAGCGTGTCATCATCTGTGTTGTATTATGTTGAGTGGGGAGGCATACAAACCGGGGAGAGCTCCAGTGTCACGTCTCTGTCCTCTTCCTTCCTCTGTCAGACAGGAAAAGCCTGATGCATTGTGATTTCAAAGTCACAGACACTCTTGAATCTTAACGTGAGGTCGACAGCCAGGTACACCTCGCAGGCACTTAGAAAACCTGCGGGGATGAAGTTTGAAACTGATGTATGAAGCTGATGATGTCTGAATTCCAGCAAGAGGCCTCTTTAAACTGTAACGCGACTCCTTCTCTATTGGGAGAGAGGAAACGACTTAACTGCGCATCTCCACATGAGAGGGATACCTTAGCATCTCTCCTACACACTTTCTTTGACCGTGCGGTGGCAGACAACGCTAAATGTCCTCTGGAGAATAAGCAGACATCTTTCCTTAATGCTTTCACAGCTAGTGTTAAATCAAACCGCAGGTATACGGTTCCTGGTTGAAGCTCGCTGCTGCTTATAAGATGGATTGTGAATCAGGCTCTCAGTGTGATGTCGGTCTACAGAAAGGAACGCAGCTGTGCTTTTCTGGCGAGCCGTATCATTTTTCACAATAACTGGAAACCAGGGATGATTCAGGTATACACATGTTCTTTCCAGCTTATTGAAGAGAACATCAAGTGTTTCCTTGAGTAGAAATATCAGATGAGGACGCTTATTCTAAATGATTAGTTGTATCGGTTTGTCATGTTGGTAGGAGCGTTCACTTTGATCAGATGCCACATTTAAGTGTAAAGCCTTAATTAACAGATTACGATGGTGAGTCATTGCATAGTGGAAACAACAGTTTGTTTATCACCAGTTATTGTTTTAATCTTCATGTAGACGTGCAGATGTGGTTTTAATAGAGTTGAGTTCATACCGCTCTAGAATAGATGCTTTTGTGTTAAAAAGACAGGAAATACCCAGAAAGGGAGAACACAAGTTGGACATAATGTATATCTGTGACACAACATTATAGTATACCAGGAGCACATTTCTATATGAAATGATTGATGACGTCTGCTGAGCAATGGCAAGGAAACGTCTGTCTGTATCATCGGAGAAAACAGACACATTTGTGACATGTAATATAAGCATATAGTGGATTAAAACGGACTTAAATCACCCGTTATTGTATCCACATTGCGTCAGGACAACCGACACATTTTATTACCATTTGATCTGTATCTTTATGAGGTAAATGATATTAAAGGAAGCGTAACAGAGTTTGCCTGCTTCCAATTCTCTCACTGGCATAAAGCAACAATCCAGTCCGAGCAGTTCAGATGTCTTTTTAAACTTTATGGGTTGGATAATAAGTTAAGATGTACGTTTATGAGAACGACTAAAGTCTCAACTTTGAGCCGTCCGCCTCGCCCCAAAATGAAAAACATGGAGCTTTGTATCAGCATGTGGGGAATCCCCTGGTTCTCATGCGAAGGCCGGCTATTTTTAATCTGGAAACAGGCCCTTCTTTGAATCTCAGTGCCGTTACACCCCATGCCAGCCTGGTAAAGACAAAAGACGGTGGAGACAATGAGCACAGCACAAAGAGGAACGTTCTGGTGTTGCCCCAGCACTTTGGCATTCACAAACAAACAGAGACACACACAAACACACACACACGTAAACAGAAGTTTGTGTCCGTTGCTGCTGAATGAGGCAAGCCGGTAGTTTACTCTATACATAAATATGCTTTGTGTCAGTAAACGTCCTTAATAAGTAAGGAACTTATCCAAAATGTAAAAAATATTGTATTTCCTATTGTGTGTGTGTGTGTGTGTGTGTGTGTGTGTGTGTGTGTGTGTGTGTGTGTGTGTGTGTGTGTGTGTGTGTGTGTGTGTGTGTGTGTGTGTGTGTGTAGTGTGTGTGTGTGTGTGTGTGTGTGTGTGTGTGTGTGTGTGTGTGTGTGTGTGTGTGTGTGTGTGTGTGTGTGTGTGTGTGTGTGTGTGATGTGTGTGGTGTGTGTGTGTGTGTGTGGTGTGTGTGTGTGTGTGTGTGTGTGTGTGTGTGGTGTGTGTGTGTGTGTGTGTGTGTGTGTGTGTGTGTGTGTGTGTGTGTGTGTGTGTGTGTGTGTGTGTGTGTGTGTGTGTGTGTGTGTGTGTGTGTGTGTGTGTGTGTGTGCTGTGTGTGTGTGTGTGTGTGTGTGTGTGTGTGTGTGTGTGTAATTGGCATTCCATTCCTTACACTTCATTGGTCCGCTCTATTATTGTTTGGGTTCACAGATCTGACCACCCTTACAAAACCCCCTGTGTGTGTGTGTGTGTGTGTGGTCTGTTTCACACAAACGACGTTGTGGGTGTCAGCTTGGCAGGGTGTGTGTAGATGAGTGTGTGGTCCGTTTGGCCAGTTCTTGTCTTTCCTATCTGTTATTGTGTGATTTAAGTGTGTTTTTATGTGTATGATCCATGATCTCAGGCTGTTATATCCACCCAGCATGAGGAGAGTAGGAACATCCTCAGAAATGTGTGCTGTGGGCAAATAAACCAGAAGGTCATTTTAGTGTTATTATAGATCAGAATCAAAGGCAGATTTGACATTGAATTAGAGTTCAGCCGCTGGAGGTTAAAGGTCAATGACTTTTGAATTAGATTAGGTAATCAGGGTCATCTACCAACCATAACATTACATTTCAAAAGCCCACTGGCAACAGGACAACTACTGGGAGATAGTGAGTCCTGAGGTCCTGGAAAACTGGATATTTCAACACTCCATAATATCCAATATCTCCGCCATACTCCTGACAAAATTCCAATTTCCCTTCCAGACCAATTAAGTGGTTTGCAGTCTCAATTTCAGGCAAAAAACCCACTTTATTTCACAGTTGAAAAGGGGGAAAGCAATCTGTGAACAAACTTGCTTTCTTTGGTGCATTTCTTCTTCCTGATAAATATCCAGAGAGGAAGCATGAGGAGCGATATCAACATTTAATATGCACCACATGTCCCTCAGCGAGAATCTAAACAGGGGCATCTTGGCATCATGGCTACCATCTTCAACACAAGGCCACATATTGCTTGAATTGAAGAGTTGGCGATACATAACCTCATCTATTGTTGGTACTGGCTACGTGTTCCCTCTGAAACCACTTGACATACCTTCTAATCAAAGGAACATGTGAGCCACGAAATCAGCGCCTTCAATTGAACCTGATAGCTGCGATACACAAACGCAACTTTTCCTCCCTCTCTGTGTGGCCTCAGCTGCCAAGAAATGTTCTGACGCTCCCTCCTATAGCGCAGTATAGAACAGTGTATGGGCTCCATGTATATTTATCCCTGAGTTTCACACTGGATCAGGTTTTATTGGTGAAGGTGGAGGTCAACGTTAGAGAATCAATAGAGGTCCTAACAAGAAACGGCAATATGTGTGTGACATCATGCAGCGCGTGTGCATTACAGCGGGAGTGTGTGTGAAGGAGAGGAACTTTAACCTCTCGTCCACACACACACACACACACACATACACACACACACACACACACACACACACACACACACCACACACACACACACACACACACACACACACACACACACACACACACACACATGTTCGTGATCAGAAATCAATTTAAAAGTTAAATCAAATCCCTCAATGCAAACATTTTGATTGAATTCAAAGCAACTAATGTACTTAAAGGTGGGGTAGGTAAGTTTGAGAAACCGGCTCGAGATACACTTTTTGTTATATTCCATGGAATGCTCTTAACGTCCCGATAGCAATGAATATCTGAAGTGCTTTGACAAAAAATACATAACAAAATGTCATCTGTGGAAGCCGTGGCGCTGTAAAAAGCACGACCAATCATCTGAGCCGGCCCGGCTAAAGTAACTGGATGACCTACCTGCCTGTCAGCCTTCCATCTGGGCACAAACTTATCTCGTGCCCTCATTGGTCATGTGCGCGTTC